TCCATCGTGTGAATGTCCATTTTTTTACCCATCAATTGCTAATGGACAGTGTGATGAGTGAAAGGAAGGACAGTCTGGAAGGAATGGACAATTAGAAACCATGTATATGGACAATTAAAGGTATTACACAGGAAATAGGTGAGGGGGCAGAAAGTGTGCATGAATAAATAATAAACTAAAATATCTCATTTTAATTCTTGGGATCAATTTTCTAAACATGATTAAATTCTTTTCCATTCTCCCCCTTACCATAATCACTTTTATAGAACTTAGTTATTTTCCATGGAAGTTTCACAATAATGATTTTATCTAGTCAAAAGTTTTGGGAATATGTTTAATTTTTTCAGAGGACAAGTTAGAGCATAGGGACTAGTCCTTTGCCCACTGTCATCTATAATTTTTATAATATCCTATTTCCCCCCTCAAATTATCTTCTCATGCCTTTAAGACATAGTTATCTAATTTCTTGTACTCAGTGCTAGGACTCAAGTGTCCGAGTATTTGTCTCATTTCTCCTGCTCCAATGCTATATCTCAGCAAACATAGAACATGATAAAACGTTTCTCGTCTTCCTCCTACTTCTCAAGTGTTTAAGTGCAGTGGCTTAGTACTAAGCCCAAGCTCTAGAATATTAGGTCAGTAAACAGCTGCTGTGAGGAAGGAAGATTCTTTCATGCAATCAACAGCCTCTGAAAATCTGCTGGAGGGTCATCTACGGCTCAGCTTCAACTCAGCAGTATACAATAACAACAACAAATTAAGACTTGATCACAGTTGGGTTCTGAACCCTTAGTTTCTACTTCAAAAGCAAGTGTTTTATCCACCAAACTACTGGGGGTTCCAAATGAGTATACTGAGACTTCAGATATCCTAGCTGGATGACTCTGGTACCAGGGATACCACTACTGATGTCAGATGGATTGTGGCTGAAAGCAGAAAATACTAGAAGAATGTCTATTTGTGCTTTATTGACTAAGCAAAGGTATTTGACTATGGATCATAACAAATTATGGTTAACATTGAGAATACTAGGAATCTCAGAACACTTAATGGTTGCTCATATGAAACCTACATTGCTGGCCAAATAGAGCAAGGGAACATTGTGTGGTTTAAAATCAAGATAAGTGTGCATCAGAACTACATCCTTTCTCCATACCTATTCAATCTGTATGATGAAAAAAGAGTTAAGAAGCTAGACTTTATGAATAAGAATGTGGTATCACGAATGAAGGAAGACTCAACAACCTACATTACGTAGAAGACACAACCTGTTTTCTAAAAGTGAGGACTTGAAGCACTTGATATCAAAAATAAAAGACTACAGCTTTCAATACAGATTGCATTTTAACATCAAGAAAAGAAAAATCTTCACCACTGCTACAACAGGCAAAATCATGATAGATGGATAAAAGATAGAAGTTTGTAATGACTTTATCTTATTAGCATCTACAATCAACACCCTTGATACCAACAGTCAAGAAATTAACAGATGTATTGCATTGGGAAATCTGCTGTCAGGAACCTCTCCAAGGTTCTAAAGAGCAATGATGTCAGTTTAAGGACTAAGATGCCTGATCCATGTCATAGTCTTTTTTGTTGTTGTTGTTTTTGGTGCAGAAACCCGGGATTGAACTAGCCATAGTCTTTTAAATTACTTGCTATGTATCTGAAAGCCGGACAGTGAATAAGGATGACAGAATATTAACTGATGCCTTTGAGCTGTAGTACTGGAGAAGAGTAATGAACATCCCATGGACTGCCAAAAGAACAAACAAATATATCTTGGAGAAAAGTACAACCAGGGTGCTCCTTTGAGGAAAAGATGGAAAAACTTCATCTCACATACTTTCAGAATCTGGTTAGGAGGGGCTAGTCCCTGGAAAAAAGACATCATGCTTGGAAAGGTAGGTCAGCGAAGGACAGGAAAACCCTTGACAAAGTTGGACTGACACAGTGACTCTAACAACGGGCTCCAGTACTTCAGAGATGATAAGGATGGCACAGGATATGGCAAGGTTCAGTCTGTTGTTCATAGGCCCACCAATGAATCATACTCAATAGCACCTAAAAACAAGACGCTGAGACTCACTCTTGGCTCATCTTTCAGTTCTACTCCACACGTGGGCAAGCCCTAAGACTTAGGTCTAGAATAGAGGAAATGCCAGTCCTGTTCCTGGTAGAACAGCACTGACTGATAGATGGCCAAATATTCAATAAGTGGAAGATTTAGGCAGGCAGAGAGGCCATTCAGTTCTCCCATCTTTCCTTCAGCTGTGCAAAGGATGGAGAGCAGTAAGGTTTCCTCCTCAGTAACAGACAACTTTTACCTTGTAGTTTACCTATGTAGGATTTAGAGTCAGAAAGTTATTTCTCAATCAGGCTGGCTCTACATACCTGTGCCCTCTATTATCCTTCTTAGATTATTCTGAAGATTAACTACATTTGTTAATAATTGGTTAAAGTTTTGTTGCAGAGTCATGTTTCTTTAATCCCAAGATCAAGTACATACTTTCAAGTGGATACTTATTGAAGTATAATGCAATAAATCAAATTGTCTTACTAGATAATCTGCAAGACTTAGGAGAAAGTATTAACCACCAAAGTATCTGGCACATTTTCTATACTCAACAAATATTCACTGAATTAAATGGACTGGTTTTTTTTTAAGCAAGTGGATTTTATAAAACAAACCATTTGAGAATGGTAGCTACACAGCTTATTTCTACATACATATTTATTCTTTAACATCAGTTTTTAATGGAATTGTTGTCATTAAGTCCTTTTGAGTCAATTCTAACTCATAGTGACTCATAGTACAACAGAATGAAAACAGTGGCCAGTCCTACCCCATCCTTACAATCACTGGTATATTGGAGTATATTTTTGCAGTCATTGTGCCAATCTATCTCATTGAGGGTCTTCCTCTTTTTCACTGACCCTCTACTTTACCAAGCAGGATGTCCTTCTCCAGGGACTGAAGATAAAACAATATAATTTAATATGGTCTTGAGATTTTAGGAGGAAAATCCATGTGTACAATTCATTTGTGCTGTTCATCCTCCTGGTAATGCCCTGAGTGATAACCAAACAGAGGAAAGATTAAAAGCAGTATGGTTTGCAGACTTTTGGAGCATATTCATGGACAATGTGACACCCATGGTATATCAAGATTAGGTTAAATGATGTCTCAGCTCAAAAGCTTAAATAACCTAAAGGTTTCTGATTGACCATAACAAACCTGAGTTACATTAACACTAACCAGTAAGAGAATAATAGTAACAGAGTGGAGGAAGAATATTAGTAGTTGCCACCACTCCCTCAATTGATCATTTCCTGAGAAACCTGATAACATCTGAGGTGGCCAGATCAAAGACCAGACCTGACAACTGGTCCTGATGAAGCTCTGAGCCTAATCGCAAAAGCTCAAACCCAATTTAACATCCCAAATTCCAAGAAATATCACCTTCCCTAGTCCTCCCCAGGATCCCTATAAGAAGGAAATGCCCCTAACTGCCTGTGGTCCTTTTTTTTTTTTTAAACTTTCTGTGCTCCTGGTCACTTGGCATCCCTCTCAGACCATGAAATAAAGGCCTGCTCTTTTCTTGGGACCAATTTTTTTTTTCTTTCTCTCTCTCCTCCTTTCTCCTTCTCTCCCTCAACTCTTTTTATATCTAACACATAGTTTCTCTCTCAAGCATTAACTCTTTTTCTATCTAACACAAAGTAACCTCACTGTACCAGAAGCAGTGGTCACATCAATATATGGTCTTTCCAATCTCAAGTGTTAAAGGATAAAGATAAGTACCAAAATACACAGATGCTACATAAAAATTATACAAAAGGAGGAATTACAAATATAAACATATACTTACTGCACAGAGAATGAAAACATTCTCCTGAAGTTAAAAAAAAATGAAATATACTATGGTCCCAAGGAGCCTTAATCATAAACTCAAACAATTTAAGCAATAAATGATCACACCAAACTACACCTAAGAAACATTATCCACAGAAGATAATGTAGAGCAAGTGACACATCAGATATATTGGACTAGAGGAACCCTTCAGTCTATGAGCCTATTACCATGAGATTCCCCTTTAAATTTTGAACTAAAACTACTCCTAGAGGTGACCTTCGGCTAAATAATAGATTTGTTGTTGTTGATTGCTGTCGAGTCGAGCACCACTTGAGTTGAGCAACCCTATGAAGAAAACACCTGAACCCTGTTCTATAACTATCATCATTTCTCTAAGTTCATAGAGTTTCCAGGGGGATGTTGTTTAGGAAGTAGATGCCACTCCTGCTTCCAAACCTGTCTTAATCTGGGAGTTCCACCAAACAGTGTTCACCATGGGTAACCATTATGGTGTCTGACACACCAGTGGCATAAGGTTCAGCATCACAGCAATCCCAGGTTACTTCAGTACAGCAAATTGACAGACCAGTTCTGTACCACTTAGAAGAATGTTCCCAATGTGTCCTCCATCAGGTCCTGATGACTCTAAAGAAGAGGCTTAAATAAAAAACAACCAACCAAACAATCCACACCCCACCCTCAACCAAAACAAGAGAGACCACCTTTCAGAATCCAATCACTTCACCCATCAGCCTCTACAGTAACAGATTATATAAGCAATATCATCTGTGACTACTGTGCTCCTTAAAAAAAATGATATAAGACCAAATGGTCAACATTTATCCTAAAGTACAGAAGGTCATGAGGGAGCAGAGAAGCTGGGTTAATGGAAGTGGAAGAACCAAAAATGAGAGTTGACAGAATATAGAAAATGTTACCAATGGGACAGAATAGAATATATAAATATCGTTTAATGAGAACCTAATTTCCTATGTAAACTTTCACAAAAATAAAAATATTAAAAATATTTAATTAATATTAATTAAAATATTTTAAAAGGCATTGATTATATGCTAGGCTTAAGAAAGAGGATAATATAAAACATGAAGTTAGCAGTATCTTTATAAGTATTTTTAAAATTACCTCTAATTTCTTAGAACAAGGCCCACTAACAAGTGCAATCACACCATTGTCAGATACCTAAGCAAAGGGAAAAAGAAAAAAAGGACATAAATGGAGATGATAGAAGTAAAATTTTCTAAAAATTATTAATCATTAGAATTACTGCCATCAATTTAGTAAATATTTAACAATACATGCTTTTCACTATTCCTTAAAATAACTGAAGAGAACATGCCAAAGTATATTACAGTTATTTAACCACCAAAGTTTGAAGTGGTCAACAAATTTTGTAAAAACCAAAAAAAACTATAGGTCATGGACATACCCTGGGCAAATACATACAGTCTATGTTTTTTTGGGTTTTTTTTTGAGAGGTCTATATTTACATTTACCTGGGTAGCTGAAAAGTCAACACACTGCAAAAAGAGGCAGTTTTCTCCTAACGCATGTAAGGACACATCAGTAATCCCTAAGCAGCCACCTAAATCAATGACCTTTAGCAGACGGCAATTGAGTGCAAGAGCGAGGACTCCTTCATCAGTGAGATTGCAGCATCTTTTCAAAAATGCTTCATGCAGGTATAAACAAGATGAAGCCACAGCTTTTATTCCTGGGGGGAAAACACAATTAGGTATTGATGAGACATGTATATATAGATAGGAGAAATGTCACTGTTTCTCATTTAGCAATCACCAGCATTAAGTCATCCAATTGTTTATGCATTAGCTTTCTTCCAAAAGTAGTCCATTCATAAAGATAGACTTATTTTCCCTTGATCTTCTAGAATGCTTCAGGAATTCTCTATACAAACTGTGATAAAATCTGCATAATAGCCACAGTTGATAAAAAGGCTACTGTTAGATTTGTTTTGCAGAAATAACCAAAAGTCATTGAGAACCAAATCTGATAAAGAAATAGTGGGCATTTCTCTTTAGTTAAAAGTCTGAAGTTATAGAGTTTATTTTCTTAGAGACTTCCAAGGGAAATTAAAGTTAAATTGCCCCAATGTTTTAAGTAATAGTGTTCATGCTACCCTCAGAGTCATATCCATACTTCTACATTCTCCCTTGCTTCTTTGACGTTGCCTTCAAACTTGGATCTCCTCTCATCAAACTCTTTACCTGTTGGCTTGAACTAATGTTGAATTTTTACTTAAGAGTCAAGATAAGGGAAGTATCAGAATTCAACTAAAGTGATATAAATGCGCATGGTACATGGCACTTTGTCCCATAAATAAGAGTATTTCAGCAGTTTTTAATTAGTCAGTCATGAGTTAACAACTATGTTGTGGTTAGGTGCCACTGAAGTGACTATGACTCACGCATGAACATATCTGAACCTTGCCCTATCTTGTACCATCCTCATCACCTCTGATATGATTTAGCCCATTGTTATAGTCACTGTGTCAAAGCATCTTTTTGGGGGTTTTCCTCTCTTCCGCTGAACCTCCACCTTTCCAAGTATGATGTCTTTTGCCAGGCACTCTGGCTCCTTCTAAAAACATGCCCAAAGTGTGTGAAAGGATGTTTCCCTATCCATGCCTCCAAGGACCACTCTGGTTATACTTCCTCCAAGACATATTTATTGTGACCTTATGGAAAGCCCCATTTCTTTTGCTGGAGTTGCTGAGTACCAGCAAGTCAGAACTGACCTATAGTTGACCCTCCAGTGGGTTTTCAGACACAGCAATCACACAGAAGCCTGCCCAACTATCTCTGGTGGAGCTGGTGGTGGATTTGACCACGTACCTTTGCACTGGCAGTTCAATTCCCCACCATAACTAAATAACCCATGTACTGCCAAAAGAAAAACAAGCTGTACTGTCAATCCAAAGGCTGGTGGTTCAAATCTATCAGCTGCTCTGAGGGAGAAGCCTCTGAAAACCTACAAGAGGGTCAACTATGAGTGGTTCTGACTTGACAGCTTATGACAACAACAACAACAAATATTGTAGCACTTGTTAAAAGACACCTTCATGGCAAATACACAAAAGAGATGTTAGTAATTTATTGTTAGTTATTTTATTGTTTTCTATGTCTTATGAAAGAACTGTTATTTTATTCATCAGTATCTAGGCCAAAATTTCTTTTCAATGTGTCAGTACTTATACAAACATTTGCAGATATATTCCTGTTCACAGTATTTCTAATATCCTATGGGTATATCGGAGACAGTGGGATTGGCACAGGACAGAGCAGAGTTTAGGGCCGTTGGACATAGGGTCGCTATGAGTCGCAAGCAACACGATGGCACATAACAACAACAACAACAACATTTTGCTGACCAAGATGACTGCAAAATATAGCTAACTACTCACAAACTTTTTCAGAAGACTAGTTGGCCAGACAAATTTTCTCACTTTACTGTCTGACCTCCAGTCCTTGGGATATAAGCTTGAAATCTCTGGCCTCTCTCCTCACATGCAGGTTTTGGTGTGGTTACCCCTGCAACCTTTTACACCCAGAAGACCCTAAGTGGGCTACCTGAGTCACAGATATGAGACTTGACAGCTCCCACAATGACATGAGACAATCCCTTAAAGTCTATCTCTCTCTTGACTCATATTCGTACTCTAGAGAACTCAGAGAAGATACATACCTTCTGAAGTTATAGAAATTCTACTTTCTTTTGAAGAATTTAAATTTAATTTCTTTAGTTTTCTACAATTACACAGGTGCAGGAGGGCAGTATCTGAAATATCACAGCTCTGTAGATCTAAAGTTTGAACTTCAGGATGTAAAATCTGTAATAAACAAATAATTTGAAAAATGAAGCTTTCCTATCAATATAAATATTTAAAAGATTCAATGCATTGGTATTTACTTTTGATAACAAGCTTTGAGATAAATACAGCAAAAAATTAAGATTCTGCATTTATGTTAGAACTCATCTCTGTCTTGGGTGGGATTGTACCTATAGGGGTGTTTTTACAGGGGTAAATGTACTTTTCCTAGCACATATTTTAATAAAAATGTTTAACTTTAAAAACCCCATTTTGTGCCCTCTTAGCTTAGTAGATATGATTCTTTAATCACTTACTACATAATATAAAATGTATTTAGGGAAATCAATGTCTAAAATGTTTACATTCTTATTCTTATCTTTGGGAGTTACTATAAAAACTCTAGAATTATTTATTGTGTTTACTTGAGACTAACAAAGAGTATATAAATTTCTAAGCATTCTAAGTTTTAGCCCATTCTTGAGCTTTCTTCTTGGGGATATTTTTCTTTTTTTCTAAAACAAAACTAATCTGAATATAAAATATAATGTAATGCACTATTATTACATAACATTTAGATAATATAGACAAGTTATATCAATGATAAGAATAATTCTATTTAGTAGACTCTTGCTGGGAAGATACTGAGTACATTACAAGTATTACGCCATTTAATTTCTTCTTTCTTTCTGAGAATTTGGCCACTGTAATTTTTTAAGTGGTGGAAAAGTGCACCAAAATTTTAAGTAGTTACTCTGGCCAAACACATTACGTCAGTCTCCTAAAATAAAAATACAAAACCAGATATAATTCAGGAAGCTTGAGTATCAAATGACAAAAATTTAAAAAATTTTATTTTAACACTAATTGAAGAAGAAACAACCGTAAACTAGGACTCTGAAGAGATGGAGTAGTGTGGACTGTGAGCAGGCTCTATACAGTATGACCTTCTCGGGACAAAGATAGTAGCAATCCCAGATAGAGAACACAGAAATGATTGTCATGGAATTCCCAGCAGGACATAGAGTAGACATGTTGTTATTTGTGTAATGTGCCCTCCCTTGAGTAGAACTCATCAGAACCCTATGAACAACAGACCGCACCATGTTGTATCCATCCTGTGCCATCCTTCTTTTTCTGCAGCAATTAAACCTATTGCTGTAGTCAGTGTGTTAATTCCTCAGGTTGGGGGTCTTCCTCTCTTTCATTGACCCTTCATCTTCCCAAACATGATGTCCCTTTCTAAGGGATATTCTCTCGTATTAATATGCCCAAAATATAAGAGATGGAGTTTGTAATCTTTGCCTCAGGGCGCACTGTTGTTGTTGTGTACCACTGAGTCAGAACTGACCCATGGCTGACCCTCCAGTGAATTTTCAGAGGCAGTAAATTGCACAGGAGGAGACTGCCTTTCCTCTTCTCATGAAGCGGCTGGTAGGTTTGAAACATGTGCCTTTGGGATTGCAGCATAGTTTCTTACCACTAGACCTTACCAGAACTCCTATCAAGGAGCACTACTTGGAGTTAAATAAGGCCCTGATTGCTGGCTGAAGCCTACAAGAACCCAAGGAGAATGTTTTTTCCCAGTTCCCTGCTTCTGACAATTAGAGGCACAACCCCCCAGCCTATCCCCTAGTAGTTGTGACTGACAGGGTCCAAGGATGAGTCACCCCTTCTCCTTCATAAACCTGCCTACTATCCTCCACATCCCTAGTTTCCACTCCTTTTCCTGCCCCAAAAAGAGAAAACGCTACCTACACAGAGGAGCCAAGTTCTAATTTCTTCTCAGAAAACATGCAGACAAGGTGGCAATGGAAAAGTTTGTAAATCCTGAAGGGAAAAAAAATCTGCCAACAAAGTGTCCCTCAAATTATAGTGAAATTATAAAACTTCCAGATAAAGAGAACTTAAGGAAATGTTTAAAAAGTAAAACAAACTTAACAACAAATATTAAAAGGAAACTTTTGGATAGGGAACCAACAATATCAAACTTGGGATTAAGACACATGACAACATCACCTGGAAATCAATATGTAAAGAATTTTCAAAAGGATAGGGAACTCTGGTGGCCTAGTGGCAAGAAGCTGCACTGCAATCCCAGAGGCGTAGGGTTTGAATCCACCCAGATGCTCTGCTGGAGAAGGAGGGGAAATCTCCTCCTGTACCAGTCAGATCCGATTTGATGGTACACACAAAAAATAATTAAATTAAAACAAACACAAAACCAAAGAATTTTCAAAAGGAAAATAAAGGTGCAAGATTGAAATAGGGAACTAAAGACATCAATTTATAAGTAACATCAACAAAACAAAAAGAGGGAATAAATGGCATAGTTAGAGGACTTCCATATGGAGAGGAAATTAATGCAATATAAAGACAGAACAGATGGTTTTAAACTTAAGAAAATAAAAGTAACATTCAAGGTAACAACAAATAAAATCAATAAGCCTCTAACCAAATGAAAGAAAGACTATAAAGATCCAGTAAACACAAAATCAACACCAACAAAGAAAAGAAAAAGGAAATCCGTAACAAAAAGTAGCAAAGAAAAGTATACAGAACAAAGAAATCATTAGCATTACAAAATCCCATAAAACAAAAAACCCAATATAAGGGGAGTAAATTCATACCTATCAATAATTACAATAAATGTAAATGTACTGTTAAGATCGTTATTGTTAAGTGCTATTGCCTGCAACTCATAACAACTGTCCCTCCAACCTTTCAAGCATAATGTCCTTTTCCAAAGAGTGGTCTCTCCTGGCCATGTGCCCAAAGTATGTAAAGTGGAGCTTCAAGACCCTGGCCTCCAGGGAGAAACTTAGACAGACCTATCTTGGCAGTCCATGGCTAGTTCAAGACCCTTGTTCAGTACCACAATTCAAAATCATCAATTCTTCCTCTGTCATCTGTAGTCACTGTCCAGCTCTCTGATGCACAGCAAGTAAATGTGAAGACCACGGCCTGGATCAGACACAACTAAGTCTCTAGACTGACATCATTGCTTCTCAGTACTCTGAAAGGTCCCTGACAGCAAATTTTCCTAGTGCAATTAGTCTTTTGATTTCCTGACTGCTGGTGCCAAGGGTGCTGACTGTGGAGCCAAGCAAGCTGTAATTGTTAACAACTTTAAACTCTTCTCCTTCTATCATGGTGCTGTCAATTGGCCCAGAGGTGTAAATGTTTGGTTTTTTTTATGGTGAGCTTCAATCCATATTGAAGACTTCAGTCCTTGACCTTCTGTAGTAAGTGCTTCAGGTCCTCCTCAGTTTGAGCAAGCAAGGTTGTGTTAATCTGAATAATGTTGGTTGTTGATGAGTCTTCCTCCAATTATGAAAGCATGAATCATCAGTATGCTGCCTCAAAGAGACATACTTTAGACATAAAGATAAAAATATGCTAAAAATTAAAGCTGGAAAAAGATATGAAGCGAACAGCAAACAAAAAAAGAACATACCACAGTAAACTTTACAGCAAAAACGAGTGTAAGAGACAAAGATAGGCATTATATAATGATTAAAGAGTCAATCCAATAAGAAGAGATAGCCATAAAAATCCTCTGTGCATACAATGAAAGAAAATACATAATACAAACTTCCAACTCTACAGCAATAGTCAGCAATTTTAACACCTCATTTTCAATGAAGAATAGAATAGAAACAGAAGCTCTAAATAGCACAATCTTGATCTCAAAACACATACAGAACATTCCATTCAATTACTGCAGAGTATGTATTCTTTTCTAGTACACATGGATCATTCTCCAGAACTGACCGACAGCCTGCTCAGAAAAACTAGTAGTTAAAAGAAAAAAAATTTTAAAATTCCTAGAATCAAATGAGAATGAAAACATATTAAATCAATAGAATAAAGCAAAAAGAGTGCTCAGAGTCCAATTTATAACAATAAAAGTACACATCAAAAGGAAAGAAAGCCAAAATCAAGACTTCAATCCTGTAACTCCATCAATTAGAAAGTCAGAAAAAAAGAAAGAAAACTCAGACACCAGAAACAAGGAAATTGTAAAAATCAGAGTAGAAAGAAATGCAGCAAAAAAAAAAAAAATTAGAAAGATAAAGCAAGATCAAAGGCTAAAACTATTTCTTTGAAAAGATTAATCAACAAACTGCTAGCCAAATTTAAAAAGGAAAACTTTAAAAAGGCAAATAAATAAGAGATGATTTGAATAATGTTATAATCCAATCAACAAATAAAAAAGGTAACAGAATATTATGAAGTACTGTACTCAACAAATTTGAAAATGTAGTAGAAATGGAGAAATTTCTAGAAATATGCCACTGACCTAAACCGATTCAGACACAGGTAGAATATTTAAACAGACTCATCACAAAAGAAGGTCATTTAAAAAGAACAAAAACAAACAGAAAAAAAAGTTCTCACTCAGATAATTTCACTGGAGAATTCTACCAAACGTTAAAAAAAAACCCACAACTGACATCAATTTTACTCAGACTATTCCAGAATGCAGGAAAGGATGGAATACTCCCAAATTAATTTTATGAGGTAATCATAACCCTAACAGAAAATCCAGGCAGAGACATGACCAAAAATAAAATGATAAACATGTTGTTTTCAGTGCTATGGAGCCAGCTCCACCTCATTCACAGTGACCTGACGCACAAGAGAGCAAAGCCCTGCACAGCCTACGCCACCTGCACACTCTCTGCTGGGCTTATACCACCATCCCATTAACAAACCGTCTCACTGGGGGGTCTTTACTCTTTTTATTTTTATTTTATATTTTATTCTGATTTATTAGCTTGAATACATTGTTTTCACAAAAGATCCTTCCTATTTCCTTCATCCCACCCACCCATCTATTAATACCCTAACCACCTCCATGCTTGCTCCTCTATTTCCACCCTCCCCCCCTTGGATCCTCAAACTCATTCTACAATAATGGTTTTATATCTTCTCCTCTTTTGCTTGACCCTCTACTTTTCCAAGCATGACGTCCTTCTTCAGGAACTGGCTGATTCCTTGGGACAATGTGTCTAATGTATGTAAAATGAAGTTTTACCACCCTTTTTTGTAGGAAGTCTGGCTACACTTCTCACATGATAGATTTGTTTGTTCTTTTTGCAGTTGATGATATATTCAACAAAATCCTACCTAATAGGAGATATATACATATATCTGTAGATATAGAGCACTGGCGGTCTAGTGGTAAGAAGCTGCACTGCAATCCCAAAGGAATGTGGCTCCATGGGAAAAATAGGGAAAAATTCCCCCTGGAAATTAAACTGTCTCTGAAAACCCCCTGGAGGATTAGGTATGCGTTGGTTCTGACTTGATGGTACTCAACAATAACATAAATATAGAGTTACTTCATGACTAAGTGGGATGCATACTAGGTAAACAAGGATGACTAAACATTATAAAATCAATCAACATAATCCACCACACAAATAAAAATAGGAAAAGAACCACACAATCATGTCAGCTGATGTAGAAAAGACATTTGTTAAAATCTATTACCATTCCTGATAAAAATTCTCAGCAAAATTAGAATGGAAGATTCTTAATATAGTTAAGGACATATATACAAAACCAACAACCAACACTATTCTCAATGAAGAGAGACTGAATGCTTCACCTTGAAAAAGGAGATAGAACAATGATGCCCTTTCCCATTACTCATTATTCAACATCGTACTGGAAGTCCTTGTTAGACCAACAAGGTATATGGGGGTGGGGGCAGGCAAAAGGCATTCAAACTGCTGAAGAAGAAGTAAATGATCTCTAATTGCAGATTACAGGATCTCATATAGACAAAATCCCAGACATTTTATAAAAGAGATATTAGAACTTATAAAGGAATCAGCTTAATGGCAGGATACAAGATCAACACACAAAAATGAGTTGGATTCCTCCATACTACAGAGAGATTTCTAAAAAGGAAATAATGAAAACACAAATGATAATAATCATACAAAATATGAAGAAGTTAGGTATAAATTTAACTGGGAATGTAAAAGACTCACATAAGGCACTAGAAGACACTATTGCAAGAAACTACAAGAGAACTACATAAATGCATGAACAAATCACGCTCATGGATAGGAATACTTATTATTGTGAAAATGAAACTACCACCCAAAGCTACATATAGATATAATGCAACCTTGATCTAGTTTCTATGAACATTTTTAAGAGATGGAAAAATCAATTACCTATATGATATAGAAGGGGAAGAGACCCTGAAAAAGCAAAAAAGATTAATGAAGAAAAAGAATGAAGAAGGAGGTCTGACATTTACCAGTCTCAGAACCCACTATACATGGTAATGAAAACATTTTGGTAGTGGTACAATGACCAATGGAACAGAATTAAGATCCCAGATATCCATCCACTTATGGACATCTGATCTTTGACAAAGAGCTTACACTCAATAAACAGGGATGAATCATGTAACAAATGATTTTTGCAGAAAAATGAAGCAGAATCTATACCTCACATCATATAAAAAAACTAACTAGAGACAGAGCCAAGACCTAAAACTATAAAGATGATGGGAGTAAAAAAATAGGGACAAACTTATGGGTCCTAATTTATGGTATAAACAGCATGTCAAATATAATTTAAAAATTGCAAAGAGTAGAAGATTAATTAATTAGATGACCGAGAGTGCCTGAAAGTGAAATACTATGTGCATTAAGACTTCTAAAGAAGATCCTCTAAAAGAGATCCTGCAGACTGGGGAAAACATTTTGGCAACTACATCTTACAAGGGACTAATTCTAAAATTTACAGAAAACTTCACCACCAACAAAAAGTAAGTCAATTTTAAAACAGGCAATAAAAGACAGACGTCTCATCAAAGAAGACATTCAGGTAACCAACAAATACATAAAAAGATGCTTATGATCATTAGCCAGTTGTAGTGCTGTTGTTAGGTGCAAAGGAGTCAAGACCTATAGAGAGCTTATGAACAACAGATCTGAACCTTGCCCTGTCCTGTGCCACCCTCAAGATCTCAGATAGGCCCCAAACCATTGTTACATTAGCCAGTACAGAGTTACAAATTAAAACAATGAGAGCGCATCTCACTCCAGTACTTACAGCACAAACAAAAACAAAACAAAATAAAAATCCTCAGAAAACAATAAATGCTGTTAAGTGTATAATGAGACTTTTATATCTTACCGATGAAATTTTAAAATAGTACAACTATTGTAGAAAACGATATAGTGCTTCCTTAAAAAGTTCAAAACACCTTATGGGCCAACAACCCCTCTACCAAGTATATTCTAGTTAAATAAGAGTCATGACATGAAGAAATGTATGTATGTATGTGTTCACTGCAGCATGATTCACAGTAGCAAAAGGACTGACGCTATCTCAGTGGATGAATGTATAGACAACCCATGGTGCAGACACACAGTGGATACAATGCAATGTTAAAAGAATAACAATGACTCTGTAAACCATCTCACAACATGGGTGAACTTGGAGGACATTAGATTGAGTGAATTAAGTCAGTCACAAAAGAACAAATACTGTTATGAGACTAGTCAAGAAAAAGTTTACACTTAGAAACATTCTTTGTTACCAGGAATGTGAAGGAGAGGAAGGGAAATTACTTACTAGATAGTAGACTTGTGTTAACTTATGTGGCAAAGAAAGTAGTATACAATAAAGTCGGATCAACACAACATATCCAAGGCAAATGGAGATAATGGGAGGTATGCAAGAGTAAAAGGCAGTAGAGGCAAACATTACTACAATTAGGAATTTTATTCCAGCATTGTTTTGTCATGTGTAGTATATGTGTTTTGCAAAACAGAGAACAGAAGAATCAAGAAGGCCTTAATAAAAAAATTTAAAAAGAAGCCCCTTAATAAAATGCTATAGAAGGTGATCATTTACAAAGGTTTATAAGGACAAGAAAAAGGACACAGATATGACGTTTATGATTAGTTGACATTTACAGAGGCTGAGTAGGGGGTGTTAGAGAACAAGGTTATGGAAAATTACAGGGCACAGGTTATAAAAACATTTTTTGAGGGAGGTGCAAAGCATGCATTTTCTGAGAATCTGCTTCCCACTAAAAGTCACATGTTTAACACCTATTTTAGGTGAATCATTTCTCTCTTTTTTCACACTGGTCATTTCTAATTGTAAACGTATTTTCTCATTTTCTTTTGGATAAGCAGAGTCAGGTGGGCAAAAGTGAATTTTTCTGTAGAACTGTTTGTTTTTAGATCAAAGGCACAGGTGAAATTTTACAGAAGTGATAGGCTGCATTGTAGAAGCTGCCCTTCTGTTTGAAATCAAGTGTTGGGGAGGTCAAAACTTCATTAGAAGTCTTACTTATTTCTGTTAAGTGCCTTTGATTTTAAAGTTTCTTATCAGTTTCTAACATTTTTAGAATGATAGTGATAGTTTTATATTTGGAAAGAGTGTTATCAAGGGTGTTGGTACTGCTGAAGCCAAGGGAAATACCTAAAAAAAAAAGGCAGAAGGACTTCTTTTTATGTGTTTGTTTTCTAAACTATTGCACATGATATTTTTCCTTTGCAATCTGGAGGAAAAATAAACTGGTGCTTTTTATGTGATGGGCAATTTCCTCCTGCATGATTTATAACCTCTGAAAACCCACTGGAGAGTCAGCTATGGGTTGATTCTGACTCAAAGGCATATAACAAGAATTCTACTATCCACCATTGCTCCAAAAGTTTTGAAACCACATCCAACTAGTAAAATCTAAAATGTTTGATTTAAATTTACATATATGCCCTTACCTCACTTATATTAGAATCTGTTATCCTTCCTTGCATGCTCATTATCTTGATGAGTCTATCCTTTATGTTGGGAGGCAAAGGCTTAATGTCTGTGATATACCTAGAGATATTCTTCATGAAGCACCAAAGGCATCTGGAAAAAACAAAAGAAACACAACAAAGTACATTATGCAGGACTGATCTCCAAGACTTATTCTAATGCTTGTTAATATTTAGTCATTCCCACCTATAGCAATTTTATAAGGGCACTTAACCTTAACATAATAATAGGGTGCATGTTTTATAGTAATGTGTACAACTTCAGTTTTACAGGATTCGAAAGCCTATCCTGTGTTTAGAATTAACAAGAAAGATGCTCTTCTACCCTGGCTGCACATGATGACTGTACTGTGAAGAAACTCAGAACTCTTACAAGCATTCTTAGTGGGGTAAATGGGAAGAAAATCTAGAATAGACATCAGGAGATATTTTCTCTCTCCCCCTAAAAAGGGGTAGTGAATAACATCCATTGCTTACAGGCAATCTTTGTTTTTATTATCCTTTTTATCTTTTATTATCCCTTTTATTGCCCCTTTCTTCTACTGATCTCTATACATGTTATTTGTCACACAGACATGTTTGAACTGTTAGGTATGCTAACTCGGAGAGAGAGAGGCACACTGGTATTCCTTTTTCCAGGATCCTAAGTAACTTCAAGATGCTTGGTTGAAGAGGACATTTGATGTTTACTCATTCCTGTCTTGTTTATTCTGTGACTAACAAACATCTAACAGGTGCCACACTATTAGCACAATGTCTGGTCTCTGTTCTGCTGCAAATAGTCTCTACTAAGAATTTATGACTATATCACCTTGTACTCTACATTTTCCCTTAGCATAATTCATTTATTAAAATGTATTTTAAATGATAAAAGAGAAAAAAGTTTTTCTCCCAAGTCATTCCTTATAATTTTAAGAAACCATTACCATTAAGAATTCAGTCACATAGTCCTAAAAATTATATATTTGTGCCTCCCCAATTTAAAAGTTTCTCTTTAATCCTGCCAATTTTTTTGAAAAAAATTTTTAATTGAGATTTTGATGAACATTTATACAGAACTTGTATTTCCTTGACTCATTGTTGTTCATTTTCCTCCCTGCCCACTGCCTCCCCCAACAGTTTGCTTTTCTCTTAGAAAAGAATTCTTTCATTGTTTTATAATCCTGACCCCAATCACATCCACTTTACTATGCAGCTCTTATTCTGGACTGCTGTCATGCAAATAATACCTAATCATATATTCCTTTTAAGAAGTTCTAGTCCTCATCTGTTTCAATGCAGTGTAAATCATTTATCCCCTCTTTTCTTTCTCCCTCCCCATGTCCATGTCAGTCCTATTTCATAACAGTGGCATTATTCAGTATTTGTCCTTTTGTGACTGAGATATTTCACTCAGCATAATGTCATTCATGGTCACCCATTTTGTGCAGTATTTCCTGAGTTCCTTGTTTTTCAGTGCTGCATAGAATTCCATTATGTGACTATATCATAGCTTCTCCATCCATTCGTTTGTTGATAGGCACTGGAGTTGTTTCCATCTCTTTGCTAATATGAACAATGCAGCAATAAACATGGGTGTGCATGTATCTGTTTGGCTGGAATTTCTGATTTCTTTAGGATATATTCCCAGTAATGGAATTGGAGAATGTGCCATACGGCCTTCCATGGTAGCTGCACTAATCCTGCCAATTTAATGCCATTGTTTTTATTAAAACTTATATAGGTATGATGACATAATTATACTAAAATAAACAGCAAAAATCATAAAGAGACCATATACCCTGTCAGAATAGCATACTGAAATGTAGACTAGACAGAGAAGGCAACACCAAAATGTGACTTGCTAAGACCTATCTCATAACACCGGAGATTCCAACTATGTGAGGCACTCATACTTTAAACAATTAAAAATATTATTTTATTTCAATATAGAAATAACTCTATGATCTTGGAGACAACAATAATTATAAAGCAGGGCTAAGGTCTTCTGTTCATAGGGTCGCTATGAGTCATGATCGACCCAACAGCACTTCACAAGAACAACAATATATAAATAATGTCACACATAATATCTAACACACATGAATAAATAAAACCATGTATTTTTTATGCACAATCATTCTTTCCCCCTCTTACCCTGTTTGCTTCTACCTTTCTCTCACCATCGACATGCATATTCTCCCCTGTTGTTGTATTCCTTGAGTCAATTCCAACTCACAGACACTCTATGGAGCAGAGTAGAAATGCTCCATAAGATTTTCTTGGCTATAATTGTTATAAAAGCAAATGGTCAAGCCTGTTCTCCTGCAGAAACACTAGTGGGTTCAAACAGTTGCTTTTTAGTTAGCAGGCAGGTGCTTAATCATTGTGCTACCAGAGATCCTATTCTAACCTGATGTATGTATGCATGTATATATTCTCCCCACCCCTGTGTGCTTATAAACTCACACATGCATATATTTACAGGGCTGGGGAGGGAACAATGCTTTATAAAATGCCACCATAGTATAGCCAGTTTTCTATATTCTCTCCATCATTTTTTCATCCAATAATAAGTTACAAAATTCTTCTGTGGCATCCCAAGTTCATTCCTAATTCTCCTTTAATAACAATAATATTTCAGAGTGTAGATAATTTTTATTTAGTTATCCTCCTATTGATGAACATTATGGCTATTTCTAGAATATTCTGTAAAAGTGGTGGTGTTAGGTGTTATGGTATTTCTGGCATTTTGCCAGGAGGGACCAGTCCTTTGAGAAGGACATCACAACTGAAAGGGTGAAGGGACAGTGTAAGAGGGGAAGACCCTGGTTGAGGTAGCTTGACACAGTGGGGTTAACTGTGTCAGAGACAGCTAGGGTTCAGAGTTATTGTGCATAGGGTCACTATGAGTCATAGGCGACGTGACAGCACATAGCAACAACATGGTATCAACGACAACTCAAAGTAATCCTATGAACAAAAGATTTGAACCTTGCCTTATTCTACACTGCCCTCACTATTATTTTACAGTAACTGTGTTAATCCATCTTGTTGAGGGTTTTCCTCTCTTTCTCAGATCCTCCACCTTGCCAACATGAGGTCTTTCTCCAAGGACGGGTTGTTCCTGACAACATGCCCACAGTATGTGAGACTAACTTTCACAGTCCTTGCCTCTAAGGTACATCCTGGTTGCACCTCTGCCAAGACAATTTGTTGGGGTTTTTTGGCAGTCAATACTTTTTTCCAACTCCTTACCACTGGGACACCTTGTTTATAAACTCTGTCTCAACTTCATGGAGATATTCTGCTGTGCTTTCTTCCAGAAAATTTTGTTTGATCTTTCACTTTTTATTTAAAATAAAAATTGCATTTTTAAATGCCAAGAGTTGTGCAGGATTGTAGAGAATCAAAGGGTCTTAACTCTTTATTTTAATTAAGTATGTTATGACTTTTTTTCCCAGACTGAAAAACATATCTTTTGACTGGATCATATATTCCATGCATATTTTTATTACCCTTGCAGATGAATTTACATCTATATATTTTTTGTTTTCTATAAATTTTTGTAGTTCCTCTACTCTTCTTTTATAATGAATAAATTTTTACTAATATCTTAATTTCTTAAACAGAATTGTCATTATACATTAGCAATGTATCTTTTCATTTTCCCTGTCATCAAACATACTGAAGGTCTAAATCTTCATCAAACATCGGGTTTTAAATATGTAAAAAACCAGTTGTTGTTCTTAAGTACCATTGAGTCAACTATGACTCATAGTGATTCTCATAAACCACAGATGTGAAGCCTGCCCTATCTGTGCCATTTTCATGATCTCTGATATGCTCAAGGCCATCAGCACAGTCACTGTGTCAATCCATCTTGTTAAAGGTCTTCCTCTCTTTATCTGACCTTTCAACTTTCCCAGTGTGTTGGCATCACCTGGAAACATGCTCAAAGTATGTGAGATGAAGTTTTAACTATCCTTGCCTCTAAGGAACACCATGGTTGCATTTACTCCAAGACAGACTTGTTCTTTTGGCAGTCCATGGGATATTCAGTACTCTTTTCCAACACCACAATTCAAAGGCATTGAATCTTCTTCAGTCATCTTTATGCATTGTCCAACTTCCAGATCCACAGGAGTAACTGAAAAGACTATGGCTTGAATTAGGTGTACCTTGGTCTTTAAATATGCTCAAGACATCCTTGCTGTTTAGCACTGTGGAGAGGTCCTTCACAGTAGATTTTTCCCAGTGCCACATGCTTTTTATTTTTTTACTTCAGTTACAATGGATGTTGATTGTGGATTTAAGTAAATGAAAATCACAAAAAACTTCAATGTTTTCTCCATCTATAACAATGCTGCATATTGTTCTAGTTGTGAAAATTTTTACTTTCTATTAAAAATTGGTAGAAAAGGTTCTTACCCAAATAAGCCACTCTATATATGGGAGGCCTCTATTGTACTTTTCTCCAATAACATTAAACTTTCACTCCCAGTAACTGGCCTTTAAATTCTATCCATATTGGAGGGCCAAACCACAGAAAAGTATATCTCTTTGCTCTTTTCCTAAGATAGTTCTCATTTTCAAATTTTAGTTGTCACCTCATAAAATTTCATTGTGTTGCTTATGTTCTTTTCAGATCTTGACAAAACAAAAATATCGCTTGAAGTCTTCTGAAAACCAAGCTAAAAAAAAAAGAAAAAAAATCCCAAAACCCCCAACTACTTTAGTAGCTTAACTACTAAAAAAATGCTACCTGTCAGTTTGCCATACTATGATGGTTTACGTGTTGTTGTGATGCTGTGTTGCTTGATTGATACCATCACTATAACAATAGGCTTGAGCACAGCCGAGTTCATGCTGATGGCACAGATAGGACAAGATTCTGATGTATTGTTCATAAGGTCACTATGAGTTATATTTGACTCAGAGGCACCTAAAAACAACAGCATAAGAAAAGTCTTCTTTGAGCATAATTCTCTTTTAAGATCTATAGGAGATCAAAGTTATAAAAGCAACTTGAATGACTAGATAAGAACTTTAAGGGTCAGTGGGTTGATGGTAATGGAAAAGGAGTAAGAATGATTACACAGTTTGAAGACTATA